TGCCCGATGGAGCCTTGTGCCCGTGCTCTTGGAGACCACGCTCAGCGGCCCACCCGGCTTCCCTCCGCTCAGCCTCCACAATGACTCCTGTGTCTCCATAGCCCCGTTGAGAAGTCACGGCCAGGATGAGTCAAAGAACTGAAGTGGTACAAAGGCGCCATGCAGAAAGCGTGCCTGCCCTTCTGCTCTTTAAGTGACTGTGCAAGAGCATTTCCTGTGTGTATGTACATATATATATATATATATATATATATATATATATATATATATCGTACAAGTCATGTGATATGTAGCGATCTTTCCCAGGTCTTGAACTATACTCACACCACTTTCTGGCTTTCTGAAAGGATTTGGAGGGAATTGTTATATGTGTGCTTTTTAAAGTTCTATGGTGATTCTGCATTGTTGAAATCTAGCACCTTAATAAAACAACAATGATTGCTCACTTGCAATGTTTCTTGCTGTTTTGGAGGATTCTGTCTTATAAATGGAAGCTGGTTCTTATAAATATTTGGTTAATTAGCTGTACTATCTGAAATAAATGTTTTGCTCTCAGTTTTGATGGTGGGTAACAGTTTGTGAAGCAGTTTTTATATGCATTAGCCAGTGGCTTGAACATAATCAGTGCTGAATAAAAGTTGATTGAATTGAATTGAGTTATCCAATTTGGTTTTCACAATGGCCTATGAGGGGTTAGGTTTTTGAGGAAGGGAGAGGTTGCCCTTTCAGAATGAAACTCACATGCCCATAGTAACTGAAGTCAATCGCTACAAAACATTATGCAACCTCAAGTTTGTTTCCCATGCATTTCATGCTCCCATCCCCCCTCCAGAGGTGTTCATTGTCCATGCATTTGTCCAGAAATTTCCCACCTACACAAACACATACAAATATATTTTTGCAAAAAAAAATCATCATCATGAGTTTTTGTTTTGTTGTTTTAATTTAATAACATATCTTAGCATGCTTTTCATACAAAATCTTCCTCGTTCATTTAAGTGTCAGTATAAGAGTCCATTATACAGATGCATCATGATTTATTTACCAAGCTTTTAGGATATTACCATTACAAATCTCGTTGCAATGAGCGTCCTTTTTCACATAGCTTCACTCACATTGCCAGAGTATCTCTGAAGGGCAAATTCCTCGTAGAACAGGAGACCTCAAAATACATGCACTTATGATGTTGATGTATAATGTAAAATTGTCACTAGGTAATGTAAAATCTAGTCTAATTTATACAACCACCAACAGTGTTTGAGAGCTCTAGTCATTCACACCCCAGTCACTACTAAAGATAATCAAACTTTTTCATCTTTGCCGATACAATTGGAGAAAAAATAGCATCTTGTTCTGACTTGCATTTACAAAGCAGGAAGTTGAGCACCTTCTCATGTGTTCACAAGATAATTGGTTTGCAATTTATTTTAAAGCGAGGCAAAGGCTCAGTGAAGTGAAGTCACTTTTTTAAAAGGTTACTATCAATAGCTGCAGAGCCCTCAGCTACACGCGATGTCGGCTCCAAATCAGTAACCCACGAAATCCCCAGTGGAGGGGCCGGCAGACGCCACCAGCTGAATGCTCAGGCCAGAACAGTTTCTACAAAATCCATCTGCCAGCTGAGATTCGGGGGGTGGTGTGGGAGGATGGATTGAGCTGACTTGCTTGGGAACTGGACCTAACACTTAACCTCTCTGTGCTTCACGTTGCTCCTTCCAAAGAGGGGGCTCGATTGCCTGTGTGTTTGTTGACTTTTGTTAAAACACATCTACTTTTGGCACAAAAAGGAAGTTAAGTTGGGAACAAGATGGTGTGTTGTTGGAATCATTATGTCTTACCCCCACTGAGCAAATTTGTGTTTGTTCTTCCTGCTTTTGATTTTAACATCTTTCACTTTTCTCTGCATATGTGACACATTCATGTCACCTTTGTGTGTGTGTGTGTGTGGTTTTTGTGGTTCAAACCCCAAAACAACACAACCCGGTAAACTTAGAGACGTCTGCTTATCACTCTCTGCCTGGTCATCTCATCCCTTGCCCCTGGCAATTACTCTTGCCTTTATTATCAATAGTTTTTATTATGAAAATAATAATAGTTTTTCCTTCATTTTCCAAATTTCAAAATATGTAATAGTGCATAGGCTTTTTCAAATGTTGTGCAACTTTTCTGGTCCACTCACTCCCACCCAGAAGGCTTCTTCCTCCCTTCTGAGAATCCCTGGATGGGAGCTCTCCAAGGTCCTGTCCGGGACTAAGACCACTAGACACACAAGAGAGGGAGCGGGGCTGCAGCTGCTGTTAAAAACAATGTTTTGACTGTCAACATTTCCCAACAGGAAAATTGCTGTTTTGTGAGTGAGCATCCCATCCCTGGGAGCATTCAAGGAGATGCAGATTTCCACAGCTATCAAGAGAAAGGAACAGGAAACTTCTTCCACGTCCAAAATTCCATGTTAAAATTCATTCATTCATTTATTCAAAGAGCATATATAAATGAAGCTTGGTACGTGCCTTGCAGCATGTTTGGGCATGCCCACAGAAAGCTGAATCAGAACTCACTCCTGCATTTAGGGAGCTTATTGTCGATCAACAATACATCCGAGTCCAGGGCTGTCATGCACAGTGGTGTAGGTTTTGCAATGCACAAACTTCCTAACTGCATAGGGAGTGTGGTAGCAGACAGACAGACAGACACATAGAAAAGATGTCAAGAGTCCATGGAGGGGCTGGAGAGCAGAGGAAACAGGAACAGCTCCTCGAGAGGCTGGTCCCGAGAGACAGCCTCTCCCCACCACGCTCCCGAGTGGCACCCCTGCTCACCAGGTGCCACAGCTGGGACCCTCTCAGAGTGGGGAGGGCAGTGAGGTATGCTGCAGGTATGACAAGAAACACGGACGGCATCCAGAGACCTGGGCACTGCCTCTAGTGGACTTGGCCATGGACAGCCACCCAGCCTCCCTTCCACTGTCCTCCCCATCTGAACAACCATGACACCTGGTCCCTTCTCACCCTATAGACGCATCACACATGCCCACGGGGACCTGAAGGACCCCCCAAAAGTCCAACCTCTGCTGGAGGCCCTCTACCCAAACCCTGCTGAGAGAGAAAGCAGCAGTAATTCCATGAGAGTCCCTCGCAAGACATGTGAAGCATCTCTACGAAGAGCCTCCAAGGCTAGGGCAGAGGAATTCAAAACCAGGGCAGAGCCTGCCTGTGCCCTGTGCCCTGTCCAGGCTCACGCTGCTCCTCATGGCGAAGATGTACCCTGCGACACAGCAGGGAGGACGGGTAGAGCGCTAGGGGGACATCCAGCGGGCACCTCAGCCAAGCCAGGTGCCACGCCACACTTCTACATCCATGATTCTGTCGTAAATGGCTGGATTGCATCACCCCCAACATTCGTATGTTGGAGTACCAATCCTTGTACCCCAAAATGTGACTGTCTTGGGAGTTGGAACTTTCGAGAGGTCAGTAAGATGAAATGAGTGAAATGAGGGTGTATGGGTGGGCCCTAACCCGACAGGACTGGTGTCCTTCTAAGAAGAGGAGATTAGGACACAGACACACAGAAGGAGGAGCAACCAGGTGAGGACGCGTGGAGAAGACAGCTGCGTGCAAGCCCGGGAGAGAAGCCTCAGGAGGAACCAACGCTGCAGGTACCTTGATCTTGGACTTCCAGTCTCCAGAGCTGTGAGAAAGTAAATTTCTATAGTTTAAGCCGCCCAGTCTGGTGTTTTGTTTGGCAGGTGTTTTGTTATGGCAGTCCTAGCAAACTGATAAATCATTACGTCTTCCCTTGATATATTTAATTGTTCTTCTATTTTGAGCAATCTGTGGTTTCCTTCACTATAAGAGTAGATTAAGGGCCGGGCGCGCTGGCTCACGCCTGTAATCCTAGCACTCTGGGAGGCCGAGGTGGGCGGATTGCTCAAGGTCAGGGGTCAGGACCAGCCTAAGCAAGAGCGAGACCCCGTCTCTACTAAAAATAGAAAGAAATTGATTGGCCAACTAAAAATATATAGAAAAAATTAGCCAGGCATGGTGGCGCATGCCTGTAGTCCCAGCTGCTCAGGAGGCTGAGGCAGGAGGATCGCTTGAGCCCAGGAGTTTGAGGTTGTTGTGAGCTGGGTTGATGCCATGGAACTCTAGCCTGGGCAACAGAGTGAGACTCTGTCTCAAAAGAAAAAAAAAAAAGAGTAGATTAAAAATTCTTGTGAGAAGAAGCCATGGGCTGTGGCTCCTACCGTCATATGCAAGCACACAGGTGCACAAACGCACACACACACACACACACGCACACCAGTGTACCTTTCTATCCATTAATCCCCTAGAAAGGAAATGTTCTCTTCTACCAATCAAAGCACAGGTTATACTTCCTGGGTAAATCTGGATTTATGCTCACACTTAAAAATAAACAAGCCATCTTACAATGTGACAAGAGGGGCTCACGTGTCAGCTGCCCTGCGCAGTTAAACAAGCTCTATTCATTTCCTCCTCGCTGCCCACTCCCCATGCGCCCTCTCACCCCATCCCAGGTGACCTGTCGCCTCCCAGGAAGCTTTTCTTGGTCATCATAGACTTGCCAAAAGAGTTGTCGGCCTTGTGCTAGGGAAAGATAATGAATCTTCCCTTCCTCTTCAATAAATAATGATGCGGATGTGATTTTAAAAGCAGATTCATCTCATCCACAGGAAGGTGGCCCTGGGGAGCACAAGGGGACGCATCTACTTCCTGGTGGCTCTGCCTGCCTGCCATGGTGGCTGAGCTGCCTGGGACCTTCCTTGCAGCGGGGACAGGTCCCTCGCGGCCCCAGAACACTTCTCTGCGCTCTTGCTTCCTCGCAGGGGAACACTGCAGCCGCCAAGCTCTCAGAACTGTCACGGGGACTTGGAAGCCACTTTGGTTCACTGCCGAAGACTGGGCTCTTCCGAAGGCAGCGGCTGCCCTGGAAATGAGGTTTGCGGCTCAGCCAAATGCAGATCTACCCACCAAGCACAGGAGGCATTTTGCAGTGGCTTTTGTCCTGTAAACTTTCCAAAGATACCATGTAGTCCAATGCATAGAAGCTGTGATTGGCTTATTCCTTTCTGTATAGCTCTACCCGGTGAATGTTTCTCCATTCTACAAAAATTTTTGAAAAAATACGTTATAACAACATCATTTTTACTTTTCATAATGTTATTTTATTGAAAAAAACTACATGAGATTAAATCAAGAATTCAAGTCCAAAATCACCCTCAAGCCCAACCCCTAATAAAAATTCATGTTACAGCACACCAAAAGCCCTGGCTTAAGCCTGTCCGCCACCTTCCCTTAGCCTCAGCCCACTGACAAACTCACAAACTTGACAGAGGTCAAGTCCACGGAGGCGTCTGCGCCCCATCATACGCTATTTAACTGTAGTCCTTATTTCCGAAACGTACCTGGTGGCTGATCCAAAACGTGGGAATGGCAAGTCCCGGCAGAGACAGCAGCACTGGCACAGCCAGCCCAGCCGCACACCGTCAAGGGCCACACGGGACTGGGCAGGAGCAACAGAGTCAGGGAGGAAGCTGGGGACAAGGCCAGCACAGGGGCCTCGGGTACAAGGAGGCAGCTCACAGGGCGGGAGACAGAGCGGTCTGCACAGGGCTGGGACGTGGGGGCCAACCTGGAGTCGTGAGACCTGGCATGGGGACAGCACTTAGGAGTCCAGACGTATAGACACCACTCAATATGCAGTGAGTATGCAACATACAAACGTGTAATATACGATGAGTCTACAATATACAGTATAAGGTGAATATGCAACACACAAATGTGTCATATATGATGATTCTACAATGTACAATGTGTACGTAACATACGATGAGTATACATCATGCAGAGTATATAACATACAATTAATATAAAACATATGATGAATATACAACATGCAGTGAATACACAACATACCGTGAAGGCCTGAACCCAGGCGGTGGGAGTGGAAATGGGGGGACATAACCAGGACTGGGCTGCAGGCAGGGTGCTGGGCTTACACAAGGGGAGGTCAGAAGAGAATCTCCGGTCCCTGGTTTGGGAGACCGTCAGGCCCGAGGTGCCACCTTTGAGGCAGGGAGGGGGTAGCTGCTAAGAATAATTCAACCCTCCTGGAAATACAGTTTCCACCACTTCCCGCAGCCGTCCTTGGAGCTGGCCTCGGTCCCCACCGCTCCCACCACTGGGGGGTAGAGGGGGACGTGAGGAGGCACCACCTGCACGCAGGTGAGCTGGGGTGTGGGAAAACACCCTGCCCAATCCCCTGTGGGGGTTAACCCGGTGGGTGTTGAGGCAGGTGGGGTGGGGGGCTCAGAGTGTCCAGACCTGGGCCCCTGGTGCTTCCTGAGACCAACCACGTTGCGGAAGCCAGAGTTCAGGTCCGCAGGGGCATCGGGGAGGGCCTGGGCGAAAACAGACACAAAGCCCAGACGTCAGAGGCAGGGTCACAGGTGGGAGGAGCCCCTGGGCAAGGTCGCAGGCCATCAGAGAGAGAGGGGTCTAGAACCCGCCAAGCCCTGCCTCCTCCCAGGGCGACGCCACGCTCCCAGGAACCAGTGAGAGGCTCTAACTCCTGGTGTCCCAGGTGGAAAGCTGTCTTCCTCAGTCAGGGCTGCACCTGAGCCAGATTTCAGAATCAAAACTCCTCCAGCCGAGCGCTCTCCCCTCAGGCCAACCCACCGCTAAACAGACGCTGGGCCTCGGGCCTTAAACAGGGAAAGGCTATTATTAACCTGCCAAAAAAAAAAGCCCCTTGCTTTCTGACAGAAAGATCCCCTGAGCAGGTCTGTTTACCCACAGTTCTCTAAACCCACCACACAGGGGCCCTCTGGCCGTCCACACTGCCCCCCCCTGCCTGCGCCTGGGGTCTCCTGGTGACAAGGGTGGCTTTCCGCTCTCCTGAGGGGGAGAGCACAGCACCCTCGGGGGCCACACCTGCCGAAGGCCTCTCCACTGGCCGTTCTCCTTGGAGGCCCCGGGCAGCGAGTCCCCCAGAGCCAGGGGCAGCTCCTCCGGGGGTCCTGGCACATGGCACACTGAGTTCACCATCTTCCCTCAGACCCAGGCGCCGAAGGTCTTTACGATCACTGTGGAACTGGACCTGTCTAAGAAGCCCCCCTAGTGGCGGGTCCCACAGGCTCTGGGGCCATCCCCGTGACAGGCAGCTCAAAGGGACTTTCGTTCTCTCTTGGGCTGGGCAGAAATCTGTCTCAGGGTCACTTTGCACATAGGTCCAAGCTCTTCTCTGTGATGCAGCACATAGAACACGCCTACCCCTAATTCCCGTGAAGGTCCCTCAGATACAGGTCTAGGCCATTGGTTCAGTGACACTGGGAGTGGAGAATAAAAGACCTTCTGTCCCCATCTATGAACCTGTGTCACTTGGGGCCAGACACTTAAATTCTCTGTTGCCCACAAACAAAGCACTGCACACTGCTTCCCCGCCAGCACTGCGGGGAGAGAGGCTTTGAGAGATAGCCCTTAAGGCACAACGCCGATCTTTCTTTTTTTGTTTTAAGAGAAAAACGCCTGGTCACATGCAGCCGGGTGTTTGAGCCTCAGTGGGACACAGGCAAGTAGCAGTTGCCTTCTCCACGTTTCTCCTTCATCCTTGCAGACACCAAGGTGGGGTCCCCCCGCCCCCCGCCTGGCCCTCCCACGTTTTTCTGGGGGGGGGGCCTGCTCAGGCAGCACCAGCAGCTGCACCTTGTCGACTGAGCCCCACTCTGGATACCACCCACAGGGACCGCAGACAAGTCTCCTCTCCTCGGGGGGCCTCACTGTACCTGAGTGTAAAAGGAAAGGGCTAGAACCCCTTCTGGAGGTCCCATCTGTCCTACTTCCTTCCACCCAGCTCCGCCTCCAGTTTGGGGGCTCCTCCCCCAGGCCCCAGCAGTGCCGAGCACTTTCAGGGATGAACCACCTTGACTTGCGGCGGGAAATGGGTTTGAGGACTGCCCGGCCAGGTGAGCCGTGACACAGCAGCTGTGTTGACTCAGCAAGACACTCTTGTCCTTTATTTCTTGTAAAGAAAAAAAAAAATGCTGCCATAAATTAAACTCATCTGACTGCTGGCCAAGAATCACTCCTTGCCCTATGAGAACTGCTCCCTGACACTATGACATGGGGTCATTCCGGAGGGAAACTGAGGACATAGCAGACCACGGAGATGGCCCCACTTCCTGACAACACCTCCTGGCTGAGGGGCTGGGGGCGTGGGGAGCAGGCTGGGGGGTTGTGGCGGGAGGCAGCAGGGAGGGCCGGCCGCCCAGGGTCGGGGAAGCTCCCCACGGCAAAGCCAGAGGGCCCGGCTTCCCATCTCCATTCTCACTCACGAGCTGGGGGTCTCTGTGTGCCCAGAGCACAGGAGTGGGGGCTGCTGCCTGCAGCTCTGGAGCAGCAGATGGAAGCTCTGCCACCCTCGTGCCCTAGTCCAAAGGAAATGAGAAAAGACCAAAGCCAGAATCATGATTGATGGAAATTAATCCCAATCCCCCAAAGGCAGCTTCTGCCAATGCCAGCCCAGCATCCTGCTCTGACCGTGGACAGCAGCGTGGTGGTCAGGTGACTTGGGCCGGAGCTGCAGGGAAAGCCTCCGAACAGCACGCGATGTGGCCATGGGGAGGTCCAGTCGTGCCACCCCTCAGAGTGGCAGGCTCTGCCCGCTTGTCCATCCACCATCCATCCATCATCCATCCATCATCCATCCACCATCCATCCACCATCCATCCACCATCCATCCACCATCCATCCATCCCATCCACCATCCATCCACCATCCATCCACCATCCATCCACCATCCATCCATCCATCCATCTACCATCCATCCACCATCCATCCATCCATCCACCGTCCATCCATCCATCCATCCACCATCCATCCACCATCCATCCATCTATCCATCCATTCGTTCATCCGACCAGCACTAGCTGGGAACTTCCTCTGTGCCAGGCACCGGGGGAGCCGAAATGACCAAGATGTGGCCTTGGTGGTTGAAGCCTTCAAACAAATAGAAAACAGCATTTTGGTGCATCTGCCACGAGCCAGGCATTTTGCAGATATTATTTTGCTGAATTCCCTTACCACCTCTTTGAGATCAGTGCTATCATCTTTATTTTACATCAAGAAGTTGTTGAGAAGGATTGAGAGGTTGAATAATTTGTCTTAGTCAACCCAGGCTGCCATAACAAAATGCTACAGCCTGAGTGCCTCACACAGCACAAATCCATCTCCCCACGGCCCAGCGCCAGCAGAGCCGGTGTCTGGTGGCAGCTCAATCTCTCTGGCTTGCAGACAGCCACTTTCCACTGTGTCCTCACGTGGCAGAGAGAGAAAGCAAAATCCGTCTCTCTCTTCCTCTTCTTAAAAGACCACCAATCTCATTGAAGTAGGACCCTTCCCCTATGACCTCAATTAACCCCAAATACCTCCAAATACCATCACATCTGGGGTTAGGGCTTCAACATAAGAATTTGGGGGAACACAATCCAGTCTGTGACAGGCACTGGCAGTTTCAGAACAAGATTCGAAACTAGATACACCTGCCCCAAAGCTGGTGTCTCTCCACTCTGCCACACTTGCCACTAGACCCCTTCTCCTCCCCTACCACCTGCAAGTTAGAGACCCCTCCAAAACAATCTAGGGGGCCGTGCTTGGCCCCCAGCCTTGTACTGGGGACCACCAGCTCTTTGGGCAGTGCCAACATTTCAGGATCAATGGGTGCCCCTTTCCCGCCTGTTGATGAGGTTAGCATCCCACATTAATTTTACTAATTTTGCCATATCCACCCCCAGCCATCACCATTTAAGAAGGAACACAAACCGGGCATTGCCAGGCCACGTGCATTTTGGAGTTCTGTTTCCTTGCCCTTTGTCCTGGGCAGGTATCCACCTCCATGGGGAAGATCAAAGTGCAAATCCCCTGCCTGCCTCGCCTCCTAACAAAAACCACACACAGAATGCCCTGCTGACAGGGCAACTGTGGTATGCAATTGGAGAGAGGAAAACTTGCTGGAAAAAGAGATACCGTCAAGGCCCAACCTGAAGCCATAAAGATCTTAGGTGCTTTAACTAGGATTAAGAGAACTCTGGGCAGAAACCAACAGT